CTGCCCCTATCAGTATATGGACTAAGGGGGTTGTTTGTTGGGACTGGGAGAGCCCAGGCAGCCTGTGCTGCTACCTTCATCTCAAACTCTTTACAGCAGCCAGCACAGAATGATATTTCCCTCAGAAGAAGAATCTCGGGCATTCACTGCTGGTTCCCTAGCTCGGCTTCTCCTGCAAGATGGGAGCTGCAGATCAGTGCCTGCGCCAGCCCAGGGTGCTTTCACATGTACAGTCAGCACAGAAGTGCTCAGGGAGAAGAAGGGATTGTGTGTGTGTGTGTGTGTGTTTCGGGGGGGGGGGGGGTGTACACTGTGAATCTATAGCCTGTCTTTCACCAAAAGACAAACTAAAAAGGAACTAAGAGCCAAAAGATACTCATACCCAAGGTGGTGCAAGAGAAAGAAATAATAACAAGGAGAGGATATAAAATAGTCTGGATGAGATTCTAACAGCCCTGTAAGGAGCCATCTATGCAGTCACCTGCAGTCCAGTTAGAAAAGGAAAACAGGTCAGTACTCCCAGGACTGAACCTGGCAGCACAGGAATATGTGTAGGTGAGGATAGAGCAGAGGGGAGTTGAAGACAGACCATCTGAGCTCGCCTCCACCACACACACACACACACACACACACACACACACACACACACACACACAAATTTCTACACCTTCCTCATGCACTCACCTGTATTGGCTCATCATTGGAGGTGAGGATGAGAAGAGTGGAGGTGAGGATAGAGCAGAGTGGAGGTAAAGATAGAGAAGAGTGGAAACGAGGACAGCAGAGTGGAGTGAGGACAGAGCAGAGTTGAGTGAAGATACAGCCTGGTGAGGGTCAGCTGAGTGCTGTGCCATGCTTCTCTGAGGTCATATGGGTGGAGGTAGGAACATGCATCTTATGCATTGACTTGTCTGAGCTGCAGTGTGTTTGGTGGGTCTGGAGTGACACAGCTCACTCGTGCTAGGAAGACACCATAGTCTTTAGCTGACCTTTCTAGAATCCCACTTTCTTTCTTCACTAAGTCAGAACATTTCATTTCAGCAGGGACCATTTTGCAAGTATTGCCATCAGAGTGGTGGGCTGGATGCCGTTAGATGATGTCAGAGGATGTGTGCTTTGATTTCAGACCCACACAGGCTGTTTCCATTCCCTGATGGCAGGGAATGGAAGCCTTTAACCATCTCATTTTCTAGGTGCCTTCCAGATGCAGCACCCAATCACAGCACAACTGGTCCCATGCCCTTCCCCACAGTGAGGGCCTTCCAGGCTTGGGAAGTTCAGCTGTTGAGGAGACACCCCAATTGCTACCTACTCAGGGAATATATGAGCCCATCAACTGATATTCATCATAGTAAATGTTATTTCCCCAAATTGGAGAACTGGTTGGTTTTAAAACATCTATAACAAAGAAAAGACTGGAGAACCTTTTAAATATGCTTTAAAGGTCTTTGAGAGCAGAGATGGGAAACCACTGGACATTTGGCATTTTTTTACAGGGCCTCTCCTAATGGTGGCTCCAGGGGTGGAATTCTGCCCTATGCAGTCCAAGCATGTGCTCTCTCTGCTGAGCTCTCTCCCTGGCCTATCCTTGCTTACTTTGGAAGCATCAGTCTGGTCAATAGTATGGCTTATAGCAAAGGCCTCGTAAGTGGTCTCTTATTTGTTGAGAAGTGTGTCTTGGTGTCTCTCAAATGAATGTTTTCACCAAGGGCATAAGTCATCAAAGACAGAGGTAGAGGATAGAATGACTTTCTAGTTGTTTGACCTAAATGGGCGCTCCATGATAGCATGTGTGTACCCAGTCAGGGGTGCCCTGCATCTGTGTTAATTGTCTCCTGTCTCCGATGACTGCATCATCTGTCACTGGAAGCCAACAGTCTATCAAGAATGCTAAAATGCCCCTTTCCCTGGTGGAGACCCTAACCCATGTCACTTCTCTCCCCTCAGTCCTGGCAGTCTGCTTGCTTGGCTGGTTTTCATTTGGGGGTAGGTGGGTTTTCAGCATTGTTGGGAATTACAGGGGCTATATCCAGTACTTGGGTTTACAGGGATCGAACCTGGAGCCCCATGCATGCCAGGCAGCTCCCCTCAGCCAATCAGTTTCTGGAGCTTACTCCTCAGCCCATTGTGTATATAGCACTGTAGCACTGTCCTCCCATTGTTCATCGATTTGCTTGAGCGGGCACCAGTAACATCTCCATTGTGAGACTTGTTATTACTGTTTTTGACATATCTAATATGCCACAGGGAGCTTGCCAGGCTTTGCTGTGCGGGTGGGATACTCTCAGTAGCTTGCCAGGCTCTCCAAGAGGGAAGGAGGAATCGAACCCGGGTCAGCTGCGTGCAAGGCAAACACCCTACCTTACCAAATAAAATACAATGGGACCTCCGCGGCGGCTCTCTCTCTCTCCACCGCCCACGTTTGGTAGTCTCAGGCCACTTCCCCCACCCCAAGGAGGTCGATGGCGATGGGTGGATGAAGAAGGGAAGGAGGGCCAGGCTGGCTGGTCTCAGTTGCAGTTTACTTCAGTCCCATCTCCATTCTCTTCTGACTCTCCTCCTGCTTCTTCCCCACGCTACTTCATTCTCATTTTGGATCCCCCTTCATTCTCCTTCTGGCTCCCCCAACCCACTTTTACAGTCTAATTAAATCCCAAAGCATCAGGGATTGGGGTAATAATTACACATAGGTGTGGTCATGCAATCAACAGAGGTAAAGTCTTTCCCTCAGGGAAAGCTGCTGCTAGGACAGATACTCATTCAGTAAGACGACCCACTCAAGAGCAGAATCCCATGGGTGTGTTTCTCCTCTCCTTGTCCAACAAACATATCACTGTCACTGTCACTGTCCTCCTGTTGTTCATCGATTTTCTCGAGTGGGCCCAGTAACGTCTCCATTTTGAGACTTGTTACTGTGTTTGGCATATTGAATACGTCACTGGTAGCTTGCCAGGCTTTGGCGTGAACAAACATATAAACATTCATATTATAAAGCATTTTGTATGGACACAGTAAGAAATACGTTAAGCTTATAGAATTGCTTTCCTGGGGCCATCTCAATGTCAGACTACAGTGCTCAGGCCAGACTAGTCTTTCCTATCCCTAGCAGGGTCCTAATCTCGTCGTTATTTTTGGATCATAACAGCATTTGTCCATGACCATGCTCTTACCTTGTAATTGAGTATGGTGGCAGTTTGGCCTGGCCCATTTTGATGCCAGGGTAGCTCACAGCTTGCCCTGGATCCTTTTAGTCCCTCATTGGGACCCTGCTTTGGGGTGCTAGGAACTAAGGGCAACTGAGGCTTAAGCCAAGGAAGCAGATACCCCGGAGTGCATATTGTTTGGAGACAATTAACTCCCAAGTTACAAAAGCATATTAACTGTCTTCCTTTGTCCATACAAAAAGGACATTGCTTTAAAGTAATCTATTCAAAAGATATAAGGAGAGGAGAAAGGCAATATTAACTTACAATACAAGTTCAGTGTCCTTAGAAGGATCTGACCTTACAAGTTAACAGAGTCTGATTAGGGGAAAGGGTAATTAACTGATTGGGGAGGAGAGCACAGAGAAGTTACAGATAAGCACAAAGGAATGGAAGTGACTCAGGAGCACTGTGATGGGTATAACCTGATTATCCTAAGCCCCTTATGGCAAGGGAGAAAGGACAAACCAATGTTATCCTACAACCCATACTTGCATGATCTGTATTATAGTTTAGAAATTTGCAATAATATTAAAGTATATGGTATCAATGTACAAAATAACAACATCCCACCACCACCAAACCCAACACAGTTGCATTCTTGAGTGGGAAGAGATATAAGGGGACCTAGAATCCAGACTTATTCCCTGTTATGTTCTGTAATGATAAACTGTGTGAGCTGTAGAGGCCACGACTTCCTATCTGTATAGCAGTAGGATGTGAAAAGTTGCCATGGCAAGGTCATCAAGATGCCAGTGCATCAATTCATGGTGGTTCCTTGGGTGAGGTAAATACAAGGTCTCTCCTATACCCAAAGCATCAGCACAGGCTGGCTTGTACCAGAAGCTTCAGCATTTGCGACTGGATAGAACAGTTAGTAATAGAGGGGAAAAATACTTAGTTAACCAAAGAAAATTAACTAAATAACTAAGCCTAGATTTTCAAAAGGATTCAATGACATCATGGAACCTTAGCCTCTACTAAAATGTTTTCTTAAACCATTGAACTGAGTAAGAATCAAAGTATACAATAGTTGGCTATGCACAATGCAGCTTGAATTGACCCTTTTTTACTATGAAGCCCATGTAGAGAGTGTGGCTGGGTCTCAGGCACCTGGTTTCTCACTTGGCCTCACCTGGCTTCATCCATGAAGCCTGTGCACTCTGGCCTGACACTGCCCTCCCTTCAATTCAATTCTTCTATGAGTTATGTGGACTTTACCAGATATGTGTGGAAACTGAAGCTCAGTGGCTCAAGGGCCTTGCCTGGATTCACTCTGCTGGTGGTGCCTGGGCTTGGAAACTGAGTGTTTGCTACATGATGTGGAGGAAAGGCCTTGTGACTTCTCCCTGGAGTGAGTAATATGGGAGTTGAGCACTAAGACTTCAAACAGAGCCTCCAGAGCCTCCAGTGGAGTATGATGGGCATCTAGGCTCCTACTACTACCACTAGGCCCACCACTAGGCCCCTGCCTCTCTAGTGGTAAATGCTGATTTGTAACCTTCTTCTCCAGCATGTCCTGCCTGGGACCCTCAAGTAGGAAATAGGGCAAGGAGAAACTTGAACACCTCTGCTTCTCGCTTCCTGTATTTGTGCTGGCCATGCCATGAAGTGCCAATGCTAACATGGGCTCTTGCCATCCTGTGTCGAGTTTTGATCTGAAGCTGAGTGTTTGCTGTTTTATTTTCTTTGGTTCATAAACGTGAGTCTTGTGTGTCTTTTTACTTCCTGAAAAAATGACTGTGCAGATGCTCAGTATGTGTCTGTTTGTGTTTTCCAGATATTCTAAGTGAGTCTTCAGATCACCTAGGAAGATGGTGGCCCTATCCTTGAAGATTTGTGTCCGCCACTGCAATGTGGTAAAGACTATGCAGTTTGAGCCTTCCACGGCTGTATACGATGCCTGTCGAGTCATTCGGGAACGAGTCCCTGAGGCACAAACTGGTCAAGGTAAGTCAGGGGTTTAGCACTGACTGGTAGAACTGGTAGAGTCATTGGCATTGTTCTTCTCTGAGGAGCAAAGGAGACAGAGACCTCCAGGGGGTGTCCTTGGATGTGTGTTCTACATGAAATGTCTGTTGGGCCTGTACCTGACTTCTTTCTTATGTGGGATTCATCATGGAATGATAGAGTTTGCTACCAAGTAATTTACATTGCCAGCCCCTGGTCATCACTCCACACACATCATCACAGATGGTCTGGGTGCAATGCTTGGGGAAGCACAACTGAAGCTATTCAAGAAGGAGATGAGGCTTTTGTGTATCCTGAGACTTACCTGCATACATGAAAACTTCTCTGCCTGTAGCCTGAAAAAGGCTAGAACTACCAGCAGCTTGTTGGGCAAGGCTCACATATCAAGTAATTTGAAGAGTCTTTAAAAACTTTATCTCAAAGCTTTCTTTAGAAAGGCATCTGAGGGGCCAGAACAATAGTATAGTGGGTAAGGTGCTTGCCTTTTATGCAGCCAACCAGGGTTTGGTCCCAGCATCCCATACGTTTCCCCAAGCACCATTATGAGTGATTCCTGAATGCAGAGCCTGGAATAATCCCAAACACTTCCCACCCTGCCCCCAGAAAAAAACGCTTGGGTTAAACTACTCAGTGCCATTGTGAAAGCAAAACAAAGTCATTAAGGCAGTTTTACTTTTCATTTTCTTGTGCCTTGATCTACATTCCTTATTGGGTATTTGATTGGTCCAGAAGAAACTTCTGTAACTCCCAAAGTACTAAGGTTTTAGTGTAAAGGTGGACAAGACTTATTTTAAAAATTGAAAGAAGAAAAATTCAACAATGCTTAAAAGTTGCAGTGGGTAGTCTAGAAGAGATTCATCTCTCAAAAAACTCATCTTTGGCCCTGAGTACACTAGGTATATTATTCAAAATGCTAAGTTATTTATAATATCCCAATAAAGAAAAATAGAGCTTGCCCATGTCCCAGCCTTTCCTCAAAATTTGGTTGTCCATGGAGTTCATGCCCAATTCAATCAGCCTAATCAATGGCTGAATAAATAGCAATACTCCTACATTAAAAAAAGAGATCTGGTTGTCCAACCATTTGTAGCATTTCTTTTTTCAGCTTTTTCCCCCCAAATTAAAAAAATTGGCTTTGGGGTTCTTTGATATTTTTTATTTTGGGCCATCTCCAGCTGTGTTCAGGACTTATTCCTGGCTCTGTACTCTGGGGTCACTCTTGACAGGGTTCGGAGACCATATATTGTGCTGGGGATTGAACCTGGGTTGGCTGCATGCAAGGCAAGCATACTACCTGCTATACTATCTCTCCAGTCTCTGGAGTGCTAACATATTTTGAAGATGAGTAAAAATGTACGTTTGAGACAGTCTTATAAAACAATGTGAATTCAATTAGAAGAAGTTTCCCTGGGTTGGATTTCTGTATGACTGAGGTGAAAGAATCAGCCCTTTTATATCATGAAGCTGTTTTCTGTAAAACAGACCATTTCTGAGTGCCATGGGCATTTCTGAGGCTTTCCTGGATCATGTTTAAGAGAATTCTTTGAAGAGAGCAGAGAGCAATCTTCCTGTCTCTCTCCTTTTGAACTCTCTGATGCAGCTGAGGGGGTTTCTGTCGTGACGTGCAGAACTTAACTGTAGCACAGTAGCACTGTCCTCCTGTGTTCATTGATTTGCTTGAGCAGGCATCAGTAACGTCTCTATTGTGAGACTTGTTACTGTTTTTGGCATATTGAATATGAATACGGGTAGCTTGCCAGCTTCTGCTGTGAGAATTTAGCTGTAGTTAAATTAAATTTTGGGAAAAAACTGAAAAAAGAAATGCTATAAATGATTTGACAACGAGATCTTAAGGTAAGGCTAGGGCATGAACAAACTCTACTTTTTTTCTTGAGATATTAGTAATAACCTAGTGTTTTGAATAATATACAGAATGTATTCAGGCAAAAGATGAGGTTTTTGAGAGATGAATCTCTTCAAGAATACCCACTGCAGACACAAACGGATCTCGGAACTGAGCAGCTCTTGGCAGAAATGCCTCCAGACTTTGCATTAGGTCACCTTCTCCAGGCCACCCTAGACGGGTGCCGTCCCTCCACCTGTTCCCTGGGAAGTCTGACAGCTGCCATCTTCCAGAACTCAATGGAAAACCCAGATATGGGCCAGCAGTGACAACACAAGCCAGGGGGGAGGAGCCAGTCCTTCTCCTCCCCCGCCCCAATGGGACCCTGAGATGACGCCCATGAATGGCCCCCAGCTACTTATTAAGCTCCCTAATGGCCATGATCCCAGAGACACACAAATGAATCTCGGAACCTAGAAGCTCTTGGTAGAAATCTCTCCCGACCCTAATTATTAAAATTTTATAATTCCAAAACCTCAAGCTGCTCTCACAGCCCCATGATGTCATGTGCTACTCATAACCAGCAATAGAAAACAAACTGTCTAACATTGACTTTTCAGCCGTCTGAGTGTTGGGGTAAAATTCCAATTAATAATGGTGGGATTAGTGTTGAAATATTGAATGTAATCAAGGTAGAGAGAGTAATGTGGTAATTTTCTGCCACACAGGCAGGGGTAGGGGTGGGATGGGAGTTATACTGGGGTTTTTGGTGGTGGAGGATGTCACTGGTGAAGCAATGAGTGTTTGATTATTGTATGACTGAGACTCAAACATGAAAGTTTTGAAACTGTTCTCATGGTGATTCAATAAAATAAATTAAAAAAAATACCCACTGCAACTTCTTGGATTTCTCCCCAAACTGTAGTCATTGCTGAGCAGCAAAAAATGGGACAGAAGGGGGTTTGGTGCTACCAGCAGGTCAATCTGTACCTGTGAGGCGAGTGCATCAGCAGCCTGATGGCGCCTTCAGACTTCCAGATACCCCAAAATTGTTGCTGTGCCTTTGGTCAGACCCCAAAAACATGGGGCAAAGTTTACCAAGAAAGTAAACAGCCAAAAGCTAGGTATGTGGGAGACACACCCACAAATCATCTCTAGCTCAGCTATATAATTGGAGGCAAGGCCTTTCTGGTTCCTGATCGAACTACTTAATGGCCATGATCCCAGAGACTAAAAGACAAATCTTGACACCCAGCAACTTTGGGCGGAAATGCGTCTGGTCCTCACAGTGGGTTACCAATGACAGACCACACCAGGGAGGAAAGGGTGTTGTCCCTCCGCCTGCTCCCCGTTGGCAGCACGGTGGCCGCCATCCCACAGAGGCCATTGTATGGTCAGATTTGAGCCCGGAGTGATGAGACATGTGGGGCGTCATGGGGAGTGGAGCCGGCCCTCTCCTCCCCACCCCAATGAAATCCTGAGTCGCCGCCCACAAATGGCCTCTCTGACTCCTGATCAAGCTGTTTAATGCCATGGTCCCAGAGACTCAGAAACAAATCTCGGAACCCAGTGGCTTTTGCAGAAATGCGTCTGATCCCCGCAGGTTACCAGTGCCGGGCCACCCCAGGGGGGAAAAGATGCTGTACATCCACCTGCTCCCCTTGGCGGTTTGGTGGCTGCCATACTCCAGAGGCCAAAGGACAGTCAGGTTTGGGCCCGCAGTGATGAGACACGTGGGACCTCGCAGGATGGGGGTGGAGACAACCCTTTCCTCCCTGCCCCAATGAGACCCCAAGTCACTGCCCATAAATGGCCTCTCTGGCTCCTGATCAAGCTGCTTAACAGCCATGATCACAGAGACTCAGAAACTAATCTCGGAACCCAGCGACTTTTTGCAAAAATGTGTCCAGTCTCTGCATTAGGTTACCTGCGCCGGGCCACCAAGTTGCAGTGGGTATAGGAGGGAATAGGTTTCATGCCTTGGCCTGTTCCTCCTGGTCACTCGATGGCCACCATCGTCCAGAAGCCATTGGATGATCAGATTTGGGCCCTCAGTGACGAGACACTTGATACCCAGTGGCTTTTTGGCAGAAATGTGTCTGAACCCCGCAGTAGGTTACTGTCACCAGGTCACCCCATGGAGGAAAGGGTGCTGTCGCTCCACCTGCTCCCCCTTGGTGACTCGGTGGCTGCCATCTTCCAGAGGTCATTGGACAGTCAAGTTTGGGTTCTCAGTGACAAGACACATGGGGCCTCATGGAATGGGGTGGAACTGCCCCTTTCCTCCCCGCCCCAATGAGATCCGAAGTCGCCACCCATGAATGGACTCTCTGGCTCCTGATCAAGCTTCTTGATGGCCATGATCCAAGAGACTCAGGAACAAATCTCGGAACCCAGTGGGTTTTGGCAGAAATCCCTCCAGGTTTAATTGCTAAAATTTTGAAATTCCAAAATCTCGTGGCCACTACTGCAGCCACCCAACATCATATGTTATTTATAACCAACAATAGAAAGCAAATTGTCTACTGTTTCAGATCTGAGTGTTAGGGTAAAATCCCAAATAATAATGGTGGGTATGGTGTCGAAATATTGAATGTAATCAAAGTAGAGAGAGAGTAATATGGAAGTCATCTGCCCCACAGATGGGGGAAAATGTGGGATGGGGAGCATACTGGGTTTTTTGGTGGTGGAAAATGGGTACTGGTTAAGATATGGGTGTTTCATTGTATGTCCGAGACTTAAACCCGAAAGTTTTCTAACTGCTCTCACAGTGATTCAATAAATAAAATTATAAAAAAGGGGGAAAAAAAGATGGGACAGAGGCTTCATTTCCAAGGGAAATAAAGGCTCCATTGGCCCTTTTTGGCCCAAATATTTTAAGGGTCACGTCAGCAACAATTCTGACTCAACTATTGTGTTCTTCCTGGATTTCTGGTCTGGCTTTGCTAACTGGGGGCAGATTCAGTTAGAAAATGCCACTGCTACTTTGCTGAAGTTCCCTTGGATTGGAGAAGCATGAGTCTCTCCACAAGTGTTGGTTTTATACCCGAACTCTTCCTCTTCTGCATCTGCTTTCTGTCTAGTGGTTGAAAGTGTCTAAAGGAAACGCTTCTCCAGTTAAGAGCTTGGGGCCCTTTTCATGCCATTCCCTCATCAGCAGCTTCAAGAACTGGGAGCTAGTGATGGTTTTACAACACTTTTGCCTTTTCTCTGCCTTTTGGTTTATCTTCCAGCTTCTGACTATGGCCTGTTTCTCTCTGATGAAGACCCCAGGAAAGGGATCTGGCTGGAAGCGGGCAGAACACTGGATTATTACATGTTGCGGAATGGGGTATGCTACTTTTCTCATTTCATGCTTCTTATCACTTTATTCCCAGACCTCCCCTAGAAATGAGAATTGTTCATATATCCAAGAAAAGAGGGGAAAACAGCTATTAAATTTGATCCAAGAATATATTCTAATAAGTAACTTTGATGTGATTTACCTTACCTTATCGCCAAGGAGTGATAGAAAGGAGTGCAGATTCTTGAAACTCTACAATATGATTACAGTAGCTTGGACTTAATATTTCCTGTAGTCTGCATGCTGATGTTGGACTTGAAAGTTCTTGGAAAAGATGGAACATCTTCCCATAAAAATGAGGGAAGTATCTTGGTGACTGATGATAGGAAAGCTAACAATAAATGAAACAGAGAAAACAAAAAGTGTGCAGGTAGTTGGAAATGGAATACTAATCACTGTTGCATGAGTATTTGTGAAAGTACATAACAGAGATGTGAGTTCATGGTCAGATATGTAACAACCAAAAATGGTTATGTCAGAAAATGGGAAGGAATAATGAATGAAAAGGTGTTAGGTGTTTTTGCTGTTTAATTCCCAAGATAATACATTTTTGGTATATGAGATTAACAGATTCAGCCCAGTCAGTTGTCTGTAGAGTGACAGCAGATGATGTGATGCTAATTCATTTATCCACTATACTTTTTGATCCAAAGGTACAGTAAAACACCTTATTTAAAATAATCCTCCGTAGAAAAATAATGCCTCTTGTTTTTACTTCTGTTTTGGTGCCAATACTGGGGTGATTTGTGATTTGCTTCCTCTGTCACAGATACATACATAGATACATGCACACAATGCATATATTTGCATACATATCTGCATACTCACATCCACGTATAGTTACATATACACATGCAAACACAGATATGCACACAGTACATACATTTGCATTCACACATACATATGCAGGCACATGTGCACTTATATACAAACAGACACACTATATATGCATATACTCATATGCATATGCACATAAACATGCATATGCACATGCACACATATCCCTGACCACTGGAGACATAAACCACTGGCTTTTAAAAGAACAAGGAGGGAAGTTTTTTTCTGTCGATTGTCCACAGCTCACCCCTCTCCCAGCTTTGGAGAGGACTATGTCACTCTCATTCTACAGAGGTTAATTTGTGTGAGCTATAAATAGTCCTTCTCTGGGGACTATTTCCTATAGTGAAACTTTAGTTTAACTCTCAGATTTCCCCTTTTTTTTTAGGAACCACAATTGGTTGTGCTGATGGGGACCTAATCACTCAATGATTAGGTAACTTGGCAGTGTGTTAAGGGGAGATTGAACTTGAGGTTCCCAGGTGTAAAGCATATGCAAAGCACCTCAAGGGTCCCCATGGTCTCCAAAAAGAGAGTTTAAAGACTTATTGATAAAAGTGATATTTGAGTTCTGGAAATCTATTAGTGGCCAAGAAGCTAATGAAAGCTCTGAAGGGCAAAATGAGAGTGAACTAGTGGGAAAGTTCTTTTTGGCCACGATACCTGGTTTCCCAGGTGACATGTGTATGAATGTGTGTGTGTGCGTGTTCGTGTGTGTGTGTGTGCGTGTTCGTGTGTGTGTGTGTGTGTGTGTGTGTGTGTGTGTGTGTGTGGTTTGGCTTCAGGATATTCTGGAATATAAAAAGAAGCAGAGGCCTCAGAAAATCCGCATGCTGGATGGCTCAGTGAAGACCGTGATGGTGGATGACTCCAAGATGGTGGGCGAGCTGCTGGTCACTATCTGCAGCAGAATAGGTGAGCTTTTTTAAACTGTTTTCTGCATTGCCCCCATCTGGAGTAGAGGTGACTGTGTGTTCGGCACAGGGATAGGCACCTGACCAGTCTCAGAGGAGCATGTGTTTATATTCCCAGCAACTTGCACTGGCCTTGTAAACACCTGAACTTCTCACAAGTCCCCATTGAGAGTTTTGAGTTACCTTTTTGCCAACAGAAGAAAGGTTACCACTGGACATGTTATTTCTGAAACCATGGAATTCTGTACCTACCCACTGCTTAAGTCCTGTCATTGACTCCTGGGTCCCCTTGGAGACCCCTGAGGACAGCCTCATTTATTGATAGCTTGTCTTTTTTTTTTTTTTTTTTTTTTTTTTTTTATAATTTATTTATTTATTGAATCACTGTGGGAAAAGTTACAGAGCTTTCAGGGTTTAGGTCTCAGTCATGTAGATACCGAACACATTTCCCTTTACCGATACTCATTTTTAACCCCGAACCCCAATAGACCCCCACCTCCCACCCCTCCCAATTCTTGTGAGGTAGATGAGTTCTAGTTAATACTCTATCTACTTTGACTAGATAGATTATTTCGATAAAAGATGCACAATTATTGTTAAGAGTTTACGACCCACCCCCCCCCCCCCAATCAGACATGCTGAAACAGCGTTGTGAAATGATTTGCTTTCTACAACTTGGTTTAAGAATAAAATGATGTCGCGCGGCCGCGATAGCGGCCGCGCGGTTTTGAATTTCTGCTATTTTACTTATTGACCCTGGAAGAATTTCTATTAAAAGTTAGCTAGTTAAGAGATTGGTTTCTGTGTCCTGGAGTCGTGGCCGTGCCGGAGAGCCGCTCGTGGGGGGCAGCTGGCGACCCCGGTGGGGCGTGGGGGACGGCCCACAAAGCCCCCCTTCCCATGAGGTCCCCGCTGCTCCCCCCCCCGAGCCCGGCTCAAACCCGCTTTCCACAAGGCTCCCGTGCGGCCGCCATCTTTCTTTCCAGAGAGGAACGGGCGGGCTGGTCAACGCCCTTCCCCCTCCGGGCAGGCTTGGTGGCGCGGATCAACACGAGTCCATTTGCTTTTCTGCTCCAAGCGGCTGGTTCTCTGTGCTAAGTCCTTGTGCCTCCGGGGCCGTGGCCGTGCCGGAGAGCCGCTCGTGGGGGGCAGCTGGCGACCCCGGTGGGGCGTGGGGGACGGCCCACAAAGCCCCCCTTCCCATGAGGTCCCCGCTGCTCCCCCCCCCGAGCCCGGCTCAAACCCGCTTTCCACAAGGCTCCCGTGCGGCCGCCATCTTTCTTTCCAGAGAGGAACGGGCGGGCTGGTCAACGCCCTTCCCCCTCCGGGCAGGCTTGGTGGCGCGGATCAACACGAGTCCATTTGCTTTTCTGCTCCAAGCGGCTGGTTCTCTGTGCTAAGTCCTTGTGCCTCCGGGGCCGTGGCCGTGCCGGAGAGCCGCTCGTGGGGGGCAGCTGGCGACCCCGGTGGGGCGTGGGGGACGGCCCACAAAGCCCCCCTTCCCATGAGGTCCCCGCTGCTCCCCCCCCCGAGCCCGGCTCAAACCCGCTTTCCACAAGGCTCCCGTGCGGCCGCCATCTTTCTTTCCAGAGAGGAACGGGCGGGCTGGTCAACGCCCTTCCCCCTCCGGGCAGGCTTGGTGGCGCGGATCAACACGAGTCCATTTGCTTTTCTGCTCCAAGCGGCTGGTTCTCTGTGCTAAGTCCTTGTGCCTCCGGGGCCGTGGCCGTGCCGGAGAGCCGCTCGTGGGGGGCAGCTGGCGACCCCGGTGGGGCGTGGGGGACGGCCCACAAAGCCCCCCTTCCCATGAGGTCCCCGCTGCTCCCCCCCCCCGAGCCCGGCTCAAACCCGCTTTCCACAAGGCTCCCGTGCGGCCGCCATCTTTCTTTCCAGAGAGGAACGGGCGGGCTGGTCAACGCCCTTCCCCCTCCGGGCAGGCTTGGTGGCGCGGATCAACACGAGTCCATTTGGATAGCTTGTCTTTTTATAGCTTCATTTTTTTAAAGATTTGGAGACCACACCTGGTAGTTCTCAGGGGCTACTCTCAAGTTAATGCTCTAGGATGCTGGGGATCAAATCCAGGCCTTGCACATACAAAATATATGCTTAAGCCCATTGAACTCTCTGTCTTTCTCCTGCCATCTTCTTGTAGCTTCTATTAGTGTCTCCAGAGGACATGGTCTCCTCTCTATCTGAGATAATTCAATATTTGATGCAAGTTGCCTTTTCTTTCCTTTTTTTAAAGATTTTTTTGGTTGAATCACTGTAAGATAGACACTTACAAAGCTGTTCATGATTAGATTTCAGTTATACAGTGTTCCAACACCCATCCCTCCACTGTACATTTCCCAGCACCCTAGAACATTGTCCCAGGTTTCCCTCCCATCACTATTCTTGACATGAAGAGAAACCTGGTTAATTCTTCAGCTACTTACACAAGCTCTTGCTTTCTTCTCTGTCAGCCCTATTTTGTTTGTTTTTATCAAAATTAAAACAAAGAAATTGAACGTATTGTTTTGCACTTGATTTATTTAGTGCTCCTTGCCAGTTATTTGATATGTGTCCTGACCCGTCATATGAAAAGAACAGCCTACTCCCCTCTCTTTCCCAGCTTCTCCTTGGGTTGTTACAGGACCCAAGCTGAAAGAGGCAAGTCACAGTGGGATCATCTATTTTAGATGATTCTTTGTTTTGGGGTCACACCCAGGGGTATTCAGGACTTACTCTAATTTGTACTTGCAGAAATAACAAACGATGAATCCCCTAATTTGTATTTGCAGGAATAACAAACTATGAAGAATACTCTTTAATCCAAGAAACAATGGAAGAAAAGAAGGAGGAAGGGACGGGGACACTGAAAAAAGACAGAACTCTGTTACGGGATGAAAAGAAAATGGAGAAGCTGAAGGCCAAGCTCCACACAGATGATGACTGTGAGTATTTGGAAAGGAAGTGCATTCAGACCTGCTCTCCCCTATGACCCATGGCAGCAAGTGTGTGTTTGTTTATTCGCCTCTAAACATTTTGAGTCTGTCGTTAAAAGACAAAGACTCTTAGGAAGTGGTAGGTGGGGAGCCTTCCTTGCACATATTCCATATGGTTTCAGCCCTGGCACTCAAAATGGTTCCCTGAGCCCACCAGGAATAATCCCTGAGCACTGAGCAAGGAGTAAGCCCTGAGTACTGCTGGTGCTTATATAAATATAACTCTAATAAACATTTCTTAGTACTCAATATACAAGTCACATTCCTATTTTATCTAGTATCTTCTAAATATGGTAACAGTTTGTCCAGAGCTTCAAACCAGGTACAAACCAGCTTCAAACCAGCAACAAGCTGTTGCTTAATTCTCTCTCTCTGTTTTTTTTTTAGTGAGACACCATGAGGTACAGTTGTAGACTTACAAACTTCCGTGCTTGGGCTTCAGTTATAAAATGATCGCTTAATTCTTTAAATCACAAAATCTTTTTTCTATCTCTCTTATTTTTCCTTGAAGATCTTAGTTATAAAGAATTTTCTGTAGAAATCAGTTTTGTTAATTGCATCCATGTTGTATCATTCAACATGTTTTTCTGTACTTTTTAATTCCTAGGTTCTGGAGACTTGATCAGATGTGTGCGTGTGTGTGTGTGTGTGTGTGTGTGTGTGTGTGTGTGTGTGTGTGTGTGTGTTCCTGCATGTGCATATGTGTGTACATGCATGCGTGAGTGTTTTATCTCTCACCTAATGTTCTGTACCACCATTTGAAAAATTTTTATTTTGCAGTTTCCTTTTGTTTAATGGTGCTACATGCCATGAACCATCATTGCCTGCATTCATTATTTCTTTAGCAGTTGCAAGTGCAATCATGGTCTGTCATAGGAAAATTCCTTTCTATGGCTGTTCACTTGATATTTGGATATATCTCTGTGCATGCCCACAGTTCCCTAACACTATTTGGTCATCTAGCTGCGCCCCAGAAGAGAATTCTGATTCAAGCACCATTCATTTTCTCCTCCCTTGTCCTTGCAGCAGCTTTGGGATTAGGTCACCCTGCTAACAGAGTGACTGATTTCCCCTGAGGCTTTCACATCACATCCTCTGGCTCTTTTTCCATATTCTCCTCTCTCTCTCTCTCTCTCTCTCTCTCTCTCTCTCTCTCTCTCTCTCTCTCTCTCTCCCCTGTCTATCTCATTTTCTCATCCCCTTTTCTACCTCATTAGCTTTCCAGTCACATCCTCCTAAGAGAAACCTTAGTGGACAAAGCCCAAGGATTTTTATTCTGTCCAAGTCACTCTGGTTTTCCCTGTACCAGAGAGGTGCAAGGAAACAGAGCTGGTGACACACAGGAGATCCACACAGATTCTGCCACACACCCTTAGTGGTCTTCCCTTTCCCTTCTCTGACTACTTTTACTTTCTCCTACTTTCTAATCAGGGCCAGAGATCACTCATGACACTTGAAGTTTGTAAATGATTTTACTTAAAGGAGACAGCAGAGCCCACTTTTATGTTAAAGGAAAATCCTGACTTGGTTGTGTGGTTGTGAAGCATCAGTTTCCTTAATCACCCCTACACCCCACAGACACACACAGCCACCACTGAGGGAAGAGGTACATTAGAAATGCATGGTAAAATATGGAATGCATACATGTTTCAATTTATTTAAGTCAATGTTACTGGTAATACTATTTTTATATTTCACTGTCCTGTCACTATCCTCTCGTTCATCGATTTGCTTGAGCGGGCCCAGTAACGTCTCCATCATAAGACTTGTTGTTACTGTATTTGGCATATTAAATACATCATGGGTAGCTTGCCAGGCTTTGCCATGCGGGCGAGATACTCTTAGTAGCCTTCCGGGCTCTCCAAGAGGGGCGGAGGAATTGAACTCGGGTCGACCATGTTAGTTGCGTGCAAGGCAAATGCCCTTCCCACTGACCTGTCGCTCCAGTTGCAAGTTAAAAATTAAAGATAAGAACTAGAAACTCCTGGTGGTGCTTTAGCTAAATTGAGGAATGGCTAGGAATTTTATCTGTCATTAGATTTTTGATGAGTCCTGTGGTCCATGATGGTATGTGTGGAATTATTCTATAGAATAAGAAAACATCATTAGAATCCAAGATAGGACAATTGTTATCAGCATTAGAGCAGTGTACGTAACACTGCCATTCTGATCTAGCCCCCTTAACTCAGGGAGGGTAAACAGTTCTTTTCATGTGTCTTGTTGCACTGCAGTGAATTGGCTAGATCATAGCCGAACATTCAGAGAACAAGGAGTGGATGAGAATGAGACACTGCTGCTGAGACGGAAGTTCTTCTACTCTGATCAGAACGTAGACTCCAGAGACCCTGTGCAGCTGAACTTGCTCTATGTGCAGGTACGGGATGGAGCACTGAGACACGGGGATGGAGGCTGCAGGCACTCTAGGGTGGGTCTTGCCACCAGGAGTGAGCCGGGCTATTGTCTACCATCTTTGAGCATCAGGCATCCTGCGGTGCCACCACTGCAAACTTGCACACATGTGGGTGTGGTGAGACTGATCCAGAGGAGTCTGGCAGGGTCCTCTGTGGCTTTCTTGGTTAGAACCTGGCTCTGTCTTCCTCTATCCAGCTTTGGAAGGCCCATAACAGGCTCACCATTCCAAACATACCAAGGCTTTCTTTTTTGTTTGGGGGCCACACCCGGAGGTACTCAGTACTTACTCCTGGCTCTGAGCAAAAGGATCACTCCTGGCCCTATGTGGTGCCAGAGATGGATCCCATATCAGCCATGCACAAGGCAGGCAACCTACCTGCTGTACTGGCCCACTCTGACTTTCTGCGTCTGTTCAAATACAAGCAAATATTGGTCAGAAAAATCAGTAGTTTTCATTAACTGAGAGGTTTCTTATCACTTTTTATGTCTCCACCACTAGAGAATTTCTTAAACTCTTTTAAACAATTTAAAGTCATTTAACTCCGCTGAGGTGAGGTTCCCCCACATTTAGCACAGAGACTTTGCATTAGATTAGTGGAGCCTGAGTGCATCTGGCCTCCCACCCCCTATTCAGAAAGAGGACCACTCAGAGTTCCCTGGAAATCTCCCTCCTATAAAAGAACAAACAAAAGCCACCCTCAATGGCATCCAAGACTGCAACTGCCCCCCATTATTCTGAGGTGCTCCCATGGTGTGGGGTAGTAACACCCACTTTGGGAAATCACACTTCTCTGGAATCAGGGCAAGCACCCACTTTTCTCCCACTCTGAGCCTGCCCCTCCTCCCCCTTATTTCTTCTATTCTTCACTTCCCCTTCTACCATTTATCTACTGCCAGCCCACTAAAATAATGCAGGGTCAGCTGCATGCAGCCACACTGTTGGCCTGAGAGTAAAGTCTTGCTAGTACACAGCTCTCCCACCTCTTCATTCACATTGGGGATCCCCTGAAGTGACACAGCCCTTCACATGTGTCTGTGGCTGTTCCCACACTCCAATGTCAGAGTTCTGGAGTGTGACTGAAACCAGGATGGCTCACAAGGTCCAGAGTGTTCCATAATGTTTGTTGTCTGGTCTTAACAGTGGGAAGGTGGCTAGGCCATCAGCAGAGTAATAAGAGCATGGGAGGAAGGAGATGGGAGGGCTGGCATGCAGGAAGGCCTTCAGGGCACCAAGAAATGCTTGTTGGCTTGAGGCTCTGAGTCAGAGCTCCAGGCTGTCCATCTGAGGGTGGATGGTGGTCATTCAACTAGAGCAGAAGGACAAGAGCTATATAGGCACACGAGTGAGAGGGTGAGAATCAACAGGGTTTCTGGCACAGTGCAGTCCCGTGTTTTCCTACTACTGTGTGGTATTGAATTCATAACTTTGTGTGCTTGTGTACATTGTGCTTGTGCACGCACATACTTATAAAAGTGCAAGTGTGTGCACTGTTGTGCTTAGGTAAGTTGTTTGCCTGTGTATGTGTATACAAATGAACATATGTATGTTCATGTGTGTGGCTGTGTGTGCTTGTGTACTGTGTGGATGTGTGTGCATGTCTATGTGTGCATTTATGTCTTTGTGGATGTGTGTACTTGCCTGTGTGCATATGTGTTCTTGTGGTATATATGTATATGTGCGTGTGTGCTCTGTGTATGTATATCTGTGTGTACATGTATGTGTGCATGTCTGTCTCGAGTTATGTACTATATGTGCATGTGTGTGCAATTTTATTTCACTTTAGCCTCTGACTCATACTAGAATCAGGTTGATTTTCACCTGCAGAGAATTGCTCTGTTGGCTTTATGATTTAAGGGCACACTATGTAAATTCTGTTTCTATTTTCCTCCCTCTTAATGTGGTTGTCTTACTGGGATTTTCCTAGGTCTATTTTTCATGCCCCTTTACCTTCCTAGATCCTTCTCAGCTTTAGATTCACATGTTAACACAGCTGCACCTCTCCACCAGCGGCAGAGCAGAGTGAAGACCTGTTCTTTTGGGTTCACCCCACTATGCTGCCCTCCCTGGTGGTGTCCTGAGTGCAGAGCTGGAGACTATCGCCCATAGAGAACAGTGCACTCAGGGCAGAGCTGCAACCGCAGGGGTCATAGAGATGATGCAGGGGTAAGGGGCGGAGGCAGTTGCCTTGCATGTGGTCATGCCCAGTTGCACCCCTGGCTCTGATTGTTTTCCTTACACCACCTGAAGAACTCCATGAGCACTGCCAGAGTTCTGGAGTGTGATTGAAACCAGGATGACCCACAGAATCCAAAATGTTCCACCTCCCAATAAAGAACTCATCCACCAAGGAGAGAGTTTCTGTCAAAACTGATGCTTTTTCCTCCTCTGTGTTCCAGGCTCGGGATGACATCCTGAATGGCTCACATCCCGTATCCTTCGAGAAAGCTTGTGAGTTTGGTGGATTTCAAGCTCAGATCCAGTTTGGACCTCATGTGGAACATAAGCATAAACCTGGATTCTTAGAGTAAATCCCTTTTTTTCTCCCTTCTCCTTTTTTTCCCACTCCACTTCCTTCTGATTCACTAACCTTTAGCTCCCACCCAAAATTCCCAACCTGGTCTCAGCCACCGAAAGATTGGTGACGGTTACCTGTGAGTGTGTGATAAATCAGAGCATCTCCAGGAGAGCAAGCCTAGAAATCAAGCAGAGGGAGAGCAGGAAGTTGTCTGCCCTAAGTTCAAAGGCATTTGCTTTTGACCTGACCTCCTTCCAGCTCCTGTACAGCCCAGCATGGGCTAACTCTGGAGGTAAGAATGCTCACCTCCTCCTGCTTCAGAAATCTCTGCCCATGCTGAGATTTCTTTCTCAGGACTGGATCAACTCTTGCCTTCTTTCATTTCTTTGTAAGACTCTTTTACTACTGTGACAGCATCTGAATAAGCAGCCCTACATTTTTGACTGCCATCTGCAGAATTCACATTAATTACACATCCTACTCTTTGCATCCATTTTATCTTTGCTTCCCCCTTTAAAACTGGATGGCAGTGTTTTTCTCTGGCTCAGTACTTACAGCATCCAAGGCAAGTTAATTCTGCAGTTTCCTCTGGGCTGCAGAACCTGGGCAGGTGTGGGGTTCCGCAACAGGCCCCGCTGTCTACAGCTGTCTGCAGCTGCTGTTTCTCGGCTTGTCTTTCTCTGGTCTGGCTTCTCCGGATTTGGGATGTCTCTTCCTCTAGTGACATTCCTGCCCATTGTTGTTTCCCTGCCATTTTCTGCTTTCTCCTTGGAGAGATGGAATCTTTGTTTGGGCTAAAACCAACAACCAAACACTCCTGAGACCCTTGGAATGACCAGTATATTGCTGTCAGCAAGACTGTTGCTTGTGGAGGCTTTGGAAGTGGGGTCCTTGGACAAATGCCCACTGGGAATTTGCCAGCTTTTCTTTGAATAAGCCAGGATGGAATGCAACAGGTATTTGTCATACTGTGTCCAACTATCTTGAGGGGAAATGATGACACAAACCACTTTCACTTAGATAGAAAGTGATTGGGATCAGCATGTACCCTGGATAAGGAACATCTTGATTTTCTCCTAATGGCAGAGGATGTTTGTTTTACATATATATGTATATATATATAGTATACACACATATAAACATACATATATATGTATAGTATACACACACTATACACATATATATGTATAGTATACATGTATATGTATAGTATACACACTATACATATATTTATGTATAGTATACATGTATATGTATAGTATACACACACATATATATACATACATACATGTATATGTGTAGTATACACACGCATATATACAAGAGTATCCTGCCTGCATGGCAGAGCCTGGCAAGCTACCTGTGATGTATTTGATATGCCAAACTCAGTAACAAGTCTCACAATGTTACTGGGCCCACTGGAGCAAATCGATGAACAATGGGAGGACAGTGACAGTGATTATATATATATATATATATTAGAAGAAGCTCCGCAGTTGGGATCCTGAATCCCAGGGCATCTTCTGGAAGAAGAGCTTGCTTTGTCCTACAGTGTAGCCCATGATGAGCTGGAGGCCAGGCCCTCACTTACTTTGTCCTGCAGACCAGCAACTGACCCACATTCTTGGACCCGTTTCTGTTGGGTGGGGCTAGCCCGCTGTGCAGGTGTGTCAGGAAGTTTGTATATTTCTGATCTATGATCATAAACCTTTTATGAAAAACTCTTCAGACACTCTCTGAGTAGTTTCTACTGTCCCACACCCCCCCCCTCCACACATACATTCTCATGTTCTAACATCCCAGTCAGTTCCCCAATGATACTGTAACATAGACTTGCAGAACAGGGCCATAGAAATGGATAACCACCAAGTAGGGATCAGGTCTGGAAGAAACAGCATATTCTGTTTCTGTCTGTTTCTTAGAGTGACTAATAAAGAATAGGGGAGAAGAGGGAGCCATTCTAGAACCAGATTTTAGAAAGTAGAGGGTTTGCCGTTTGTTTGGTTTTCGTAGTCTGCTGAGAAGGCCACCCCAGTGTGGCCACTCAGGGAGGAGAGTGGGGAGGGTGTTAAGCTGCTACTGCTGCTGCTCCAGTCCTGTCCCTCTTTTTCTCTAGATCTTCAGGGAAGTACATTCTCAGGTACCTGGGAACTGAAATCAGAGCATTGTGCATGTGGAAGATAGGTGTAGAGAGAACTGGTGTGTTCAGAGCTTTTATGTATGCAGTTTATGACTTTTAAGACTGATCAGACCATTTTCTTTCTTTTTTAATTTTTTTTATTAGTGAAACACCATGAGGTACAGTTGTAGATTTACAATTTTTTGTGCTTGGGTTTGATTATACAATGATCAGATACCCATCCCTCCACCAGTGCCCATTTTCCACCACCATGGATAATATCCCCCCACCCCTGATCAGACCGTTTTCAAAGGGAGCCCCACCTCTAGGGAAAAGTGCCTTTAAAATGTGATGAGCAGTCCTTCTGTCTCCTTCCGTCTCCACCAAGCCAGAGATTCCTGTCCTGCTGACAGTCTGTACCAAGAGTAAGGGCAGCAGCTTTTCAGGCGGTGTAGGAGCCACTGTGGTTTATGTGCCTATTGGATGTTGCTTTCTGCCATTCCAGGAAAAATGTCCTTTTGCTTAAAAATCTTGAGAGCAATGGTTAAGCAATTGTTTCTTCACTCTTCTTATTCCTGGAATGATACTAGGAAGCCGATGCTTCTGGCAGTAGGTGAGGTTCCAAATTAAAACCAGCTCATTTTGCCCACTTGTATTGTTTTCCTCATGTTTACTTTTTAATTAGGCCAAGTGAAGTCCAGTAATGAGGCATTTTTTGGAGTGTAGAGATTTAATTGTGTAAATTATCATCAGTGAAACTTCTTGAGTTCATTCCTCCATCAGGGCCACATTTCCCTGGATATGTGTTGGGTATTTGAGCTTGTTTTCAGGGGTGGCATGTCTGGACTTTCATAGAGGCTCACTGGGCTAAGTATGCCCATCATTAGGGTTTCCCCATCAAGTTTTCATGGTTACTGGTGGCCTGAACAATCTTATTGGAGTCTGAGGGGTTTTTTTGTTTTATTTTGTTCAATTTTGGTTTTGGGGCACACCATGCATGCTCAAGGTTACTCCTGGCTCTGCCTTCAGGAATAACTCCTGACAGTGTTTAGGGGACTATATCAGATGTCAGGGATTGAACTCAGGTCAGCCATATGCAAAGCAGACACTCTACCTGCTGTGCTGTATCTCTGGACCTTAGAAGCTGAATTTTTAAAGAATAGAAGATGGGGCTGGAGAGATAGTACGGCAGATAGGGCATTTGCCTTTCATGTGTCTGACCCCAGTTCCCCATTAGGGTCCCTCAGGAAGCACTAGGAGTGATCTCTGAATGCAGAGTCAGGAGTAATCCCTGAGCACAGCTGGATGTGGACCCCCAAGCAAAATCAAACAAAGTTAACTAAATAAAAACAAAAGACTAGAACATGAGAGTTATCATAAACTCAGGGTAGAGAGTTAGAGATTTAAGCATCAGAGCTTCTGGGTAAGATGCATAATGGTACGTGTAGTAAGGACATTTCTTTCATGTTTCTGAAAATTTGCTTAGCACAATATGTTCAGCATAATATAGATTTTCTTATTAGGTACTTTTCCACCTTTCCTCAGATGCTTTGATAATTTTTTCACTTAGTGAATCTTGGTAAAGATTTTGAATAATGACATAAATAAGACATAAATAATAAATCAGACATCAAAGATTTTCAGACTTCTTGGGGATTTTAAGGATTAGTTCTCCATCTGCCTTGTAGATGAGAGAAACAGGTGAGCAAGACACAGATATGTTCCAGAGCCAGGGAAAACCAGGAGCCGAAAAACAACCACTTCTCCTAAACTGAATCAGATGTGTCTCTCCATGACACATTTCCTTGGGTCATCTCCAAAGAGTCTTAAAATGGGATATTGAAGCAGCTTATGTAGTCCAAGAAACACAATCTTTTTTTAAAAAATTTTATTGAATCACCGTGAGATAGTTACAAGCTTTCATGTTTGGATTACGATCACATAATGATCAAACACCCATCCCTCCACCAGTGCACATTCCCTACCATCAGTCACCCCAGTATACCCACTCTTTACCACTCTCCCATTGCTTCCATGGCAGACAATATTCCCCATACTCTCTCTTTATTTTGTGGCATTATGGTTTTCAATAAAGATACTGAGAGGTTATCATGTTTAGTCCGTTTTCTATTTTCAGCACACATCTCCCATCCCGACCAATTCCTCCAGCCATCATTTTCTTAGTGATCCCTTCTGCCTTCTCCCCTCCACTCATGAGGCAGGCTTCCAGCTATGGAGCAATCTTCCTGGCCTGTGTATCTACTGTCCTTAGGTGTCAGCCTCATGTTATGTTGTTTTATACTTCACAAATCAGTGCAGTCCTTCTATGTCTGTCCCTCTCATTTCACTTAGCATGATACTCTCCATGTCTGTCCATTTATAAGTAAATTTTATGACTTCATCTCTCCTAACGGTTGCATAGTATTCCATCGTGTAGATATACCAAAGTTTCTTTAACCAGTCATCTGTTCTTGGGCACTTGGGTTGTTTTCAGATTTTGGCTAGTGTGAGCAGTGCTGCAATGAACATATAGGTACAGCTGTCATTTCTACTGTGCTTTTTTGCATCCTCAGGATATATTCCCAGAAGTGGTATTACAGGGTCAGATGGAAGCTCAATTTCTAGTTTGGGTTTTTTTGTGTTTTTTTTCTTTGCTTTTTGGGTCACACCCGGCGATGCACAGGGGTTACTCCTGGCGGTGCTCAGGGGACCATATGGGATGCTGGGAATTGAACCCAGATTGGCCCAGATTGGCCGCATGCAAGGCAAATGCCCTACCTGCTGTGCTGTCTCTCCATTCCCTCAATTTCTAGTTTTTGAAGGACTTCATATTGTTTTCCAGAAAGGCTGGACTAATGGGCATTCCCACCAACAGTGAAAGAGCATCCCT